GAAAAAATATGAGAAAAGGAAAAAAATGGATACAAAATCTTTGCAAATAGGGAAGGGTGGAGGGGGTGAAAGGAGAGCAGGGGAAGGGAAAAAAATAAGAACCAAGATATATCATGTAAAGCTACAAGATCCCAATGATAAATGTAATTGTATTTTATATCTAAAATGTATCAATAAACTTAAAGGAAAAAATGCTGTGTAAGTGTGTTATAAGAAAGCTACATGATTAGTTGAGGGGGGAAAGGTCACCTTAAGGAAGAAATATTCAGACTGAAAAGCTAAACAGATTTTGGGAAGGAAAGTAGAAGGGGGAGGGAGAGAGAGAATTTCAGATAGGAATTTCTGAGGCTGAAAGGAATGAAGAATTAAGGGATGAAGTCACAAAGTGGTCTCCAATCAGGGCTGGTCTCCAGTTATTCAAACTAATAATTTTCTTTCATAGTTTAAGCCACTTTGTGTTAAATGGCCTGCCACTTAAATCTGAAAGTGCCTAAATGGAACACTCCACTGCTCTGCTAATATGAAATTTGTGGGTTTTTTTAAATTTCAATTTTTTACTATTAGATTCAACAGATATTGTTAATGGGCTCTAAAATTTTGAAACATTTAGACTTAATTTCTGCAATCAAATCCCAGACAGTCAAGAAATCTTCCTCCACCCTGCTACCCATGAACCTGCACCTCAGTCCCTTGGTGTCTTTTGTCCATTTTAAAATCAGATTCTTCTATTTTCTTATTACTGAGTTTTAAGGGTTCTTTGCATATTCGAGGTAACAATCCTTTATCTGATATGTCTTTTGCAAATATTCTTTTCCCACACTGTGCATTGCCTTTTCACTCCCTTGGCCTTGTCTTTTGCAGAGCAGAAATTTTTAATGAAGCCAATTATTATTATTTATCATTTTTTTAATAGATTGTGCCTTTGGTATTACATCTAAAAAGTCATCATCAAACCCAAGGTCCTCTACATTTTCTCCTATGTTATCTTCTAGGGAATTTCATAGTTTATGGCTGTTGTTTAGAGGCAGGACTTTTAATGGCAGATTCATTCAGGAGGAATCTGCCTTAATGAATGGGAAAATACCATTGTCAAAGGAGTGGGTTCATTATCCTGAGAGTGGGTTTGTTATAAAGGCAAATTTGGCTGCCTCTTGCTCTTTTGTGCCCTCATGTCTTTCTGCCTTCTGCCATGGCATGTCACAGCAAGAAGGTCCTTGCCAGATACCAGTACCTTGATCTTGGATTTTCCAGCTTCCAGAATAGTAAGAAAGAAATCTGTTTTGTTTTGTTTTGTTAACTAGATTGCCTCATCTGTGGCATTCTACCATAGCAACACAAAAAAAGACTAAGGAACTCACCTATTAAAATGTTTCCTGGCTGCAAATCCTGATGAATATATTCATGCAAGTGTAGTTCTTGAACAGCCTTAAATATAGATGCTAGGACATTTCGGGCAAATGTATCTTCCTCATCCTCCATGGCGTCTCCTCTGCGCTTATCCAAGAGCTCCTCCAGAGACTCTTCACAGAGGGCCACACACACATACAACCAGGCCCCCTCACTCTCACTCCCATAGAATGTCAGCAAGTTACTGTGCCCTTGAATGTGTTGCAGGCAGTCCATTTCCCTTACTGCATGTTCACTCCCCTCACGGAATACCTTCACTGCCACTTCTCGCTCCTCATAGAGCCCCAGGTAGATGTCTCCTTTAGAAGTTTTGGCAATTTTGTAGTCTTCACCCTTAAAGATCTTGAGTTTGCCAGTTTTACGATGGTACATTCTATAGAGTTTTTTCAGGTCTTTCCCCCAACGAGAACTCAGAGGCTTCCAATCTTTAGTAGGGGGTTGGAAATAGTCTTGGGCTCCATAAGAGCAAAGAAGTTTTGCAAGGTCATTGTTATAATGTTTACGCTTTGCTATCCAGACAAGATCTCCGCAATCTGTGTTGGCTCCCTTCTTACACAGCAACTCGACAATCACCTTCAGATTGAGCTGAACAGCAACCAGCAGTGCTGTTCTGCCTTTGTCATCTTTTGCATCAATATCTATATGCTTTTGTTCCAGGAGCATCTGCACCAAACCAACATGCTTCTTTTCCACTGCCAAGATCAGGGGTGTCTTCTCTCTTTCTCCTCTCATGCAAATATCAGCCCCGTGGTCCAGCAGAAGGCGGGTAATATCCTCCACCTTCTCATCAGGAGAGCTCTGAATACCATGGATCAAGGCACTTCTGCCCATGTTGTCACAGGCATTGACTTCTGCCCTCATCTTTTCCAGGAGAATTCTCAAGACATCGATGTGGCCCTTTTTAGCAGCATCCATGAGAGCTGTGCCCCCTCCTTTCCCAAGTACCTTTTGATCAGCCTTTGTCTCTCGATGCAAATTCACATTTGCTCCACTCTCATAAAGAAATTTTAAAGCTTCAGCATTACCTTGCTCAGCAGCTTCCATGAAAGCTGTGAAGCCATTAGAATCATACTCATTGACATCCGCTCCCTTGGAAAGGAAAAGTCTGAGCAGCTCCACATTTCCCTCAATCCCAGCTATGATGAAGGAGGTGGCCCCATTCTTCTTCCTCTGATGAGGGTCAGCACCATGATCAAGCAGAAGTTCTACAATGTCCTTACTACCACCTTGTACTGCATTATGCAAAGGTGTCCAGCCCCCTTCCTCTTCCTGGAAATTGACACTGGCCCCTATTTTCAGCAATTGCTCTATCTGATTGACATCTTTATTCTTAACAGCATTAATTAATGAATGACCGTTTTCCATTGTAGCCCTTCTAAAGTTGGAGGGCATGGGTCCCTCCTGGGGATTGTTAGGACCCTTTGTCTCCATGATGGTAAATGCCACTGGCTATGTTTTGCCTTTTCCTTGAGAAAATGCAACTTATCTCCTTGGGACTTGACTAGAGTTTTGGAGTATAAATTGTGGTTACCTAACTACAACCAGCTGTATGAGGCAGAACAGGGTTTTTAGTCTTCTGAGATTTCCCCTGGAAGTAAGAGAGATTGGATAATTTCAGAATAGTAAGAAAACATTTGAATTACAGAATTTACTTTTACTAGTAACCTTTTCCAAATACATTTACTTACTCATTACAGAGCTTTTAAATTGTAGATATTATAATATATGCAAATTAAAAATTTTAAAATATTACCCGATAGTCCCTCTCCCCAGAAATAGCCATAGATCTTTAAATAGCTGGTATCTTGCTATGTATCCCAACTATGTATTCCACTTCCTTTCATTCAGTGCCATACTATAAATAATTCCCTATACAGTATTATTACAAAGTCTTTTAAACTTTTTAAGGATTCTATAATATACCATCATATTGTTGCTTAATTTCTTTATTACTGGGTGATTTTTTTAAACAAGTTTTTAAAAAGATTTTTGATATTAAAAATTTCTAAACAATTCTCAATGATGTTCATTTTTAGTTTATTTTCTTATGATAAATTTCTTATACTCATAACCTTTGATTGGTCAAAGTTATGACTATGTTTCGGATTCTCAGCCTATACTGTATTAACCACTTTTTCCAATGTTACATAAATACATTCTTATCAGCAATAAATAGATTCTTTTAAAAAAACTCTATAGACAAAAACGTATTTCATGGTTTTTGTCCAATGGTATGTCTTACTACTTCAGAGAGGTTGGTCACAGAGTTCCCTGGCTATGTGTATGTCCCTTTTGTATCACTATGTGTTTCTATTTAAAGTAGGAGTGGCAAGAGTTTGGGTTCTGACCTGAATAAACTGAGTCTGAGCCCCTGGTTATATAACTTTTCTTAACTGTTACTTCCTTATTGTGTAATTTTAGATTTGTGGAGTCTCAATTTTCTGTTTCCTCAAATGAGACAATAACAAATATAGTCATGTGTGCAGAGTGCATTAAAGTATAGTGTATAGCAAGTATTTAGTACTTAAGGAATGATAGAACTAATTATGTCACTCTATGAAAAAATCACTTTTAAGGAATTCTATTCTTCCCAACCATGTGCAATTAAATAGTACAGAAACAGGGAAGCTAGGCATCCATTTGGTCCAACAACTGCCCTCAATGAAATTGAAGCACTTGAGACCCAATTCAATCACTGGATAGTCCCATGCTATTGTTACATAATCACTACATAACTACATTTGCTGCAAATTCACAAAGCCACACTTTCTGAGGACTAATCAACTGTACAACATGAGCATGATCACCAGTCAGTGAAATGTGAACACAGCATTTGCATAGATGGTCCTGATTACAAACAGGCATGAGGCTACCAGTGTCAATGAAGGAGCAGAGAAGGAAAGAAAGCCAAGCGTTGCCTGTGGAGTACACCACAGGACAGAGAATTAAGCCTTGAAAGCAAACGAGCCCTGCTTTCATTTTCATTTTCTTCAGCAGTCCGGAGGACCTGAGAAACAGTGGACTTAAATAAACAATGTGTGGGTTTCTGCAGAAATTTGGAAGAGAGGGCTCAGAACCATTAGGCTCCTGTAGGACAGCCAGGAGGTTTTGAGCCTTCTCTCCTCAATCTGTGTCCTCCAGTCCCTCTCATGTCCAGTCCCAGATCCCCGGGGGCTCTTTCAAGAAGGATTTCTCAAGCTTGCCCAGCTAGCTCTTTTCCTTCTCCCCAGATCTTTTCCTTCTGCCCAGCTTACCTTCAGGACACAACCTCTTCCTCAGTCATTCCTTTGGCAGCAACTAAGCTCGGACACAGTTCAGCAGGGTCAACACTTCCTCCTGGTGTGTCTCTGAACCAGCAGGGCGGGGCTGAAAAAGGAATGGAGAAGAAAGAGCACAGCATGAGCTGGCACACAGCCACACTCAGGCAGCAGGCCTGAGAAAAGTGCTTTCCTACCTTGAGGAGGAAGGTGATGCCATACATGCTTTAGCTTCTCCACTTCTCAGCTTGCAGTATCCAGCTCCATCCAACATACTTGTATCTTTTCCATGTTGTTGAAAATGCCTCCTTGGGTTAAAAGAGTAGAGAACAAACACTTAACCCATTATGCACTCAATTCATATTTATCAAGTGCTGTCTTGTTAGGGGCTATTGTGAACACTTGGGCTAAGGTGATTTGCCCAAGACTAATTTACATACAGACTCATGGAGTTCTTCATGGAGCTTGTAGATATAATCTCTGACTGTCCCTACTCCTGTGGGCATCCTGACTGCTACCATCCAGTTTCCCCAACATATTGCTTTCTGCATCTATGCCTTTGTACATGCTGCTTTGCTGTGAGATCAAATAATAGCAGTAAGAATGATAATGGCAGTGATGATGTTAATAATAGCAGACATTTACATAGCTCTTTAGTGTGCTCCCAGAACTGTTCTGACTACCTTATACATAATAACTCACATGATCTAAAATTTTTCGAGGTAGTCACTATTTTTATCCAATTTTTACAGTTGAAACTGAGATCGAAAGTGATAAAGTAACTTGCTCTGTTCTTGGGATTTGAGCTACATCACTGAACAACACATTCTCAAGGAAGCCAGATAATGAACAAAAATAAATCATAGTATGTTTTATGGTTAAAAAATCTACAGGGAATAAGTAGAATAAGAGGGATTGAAAGCACAGGATAAGAACTGTAATTTTCCAACAAAGGATAGGTAGGGAGGGACTCATTCTACAGATGACACTTGAGCAAAATTTCTAGGAAGACACAAAAGCATGCTGAGCAAATTTCTGGGGCAATCTTTAATAAATGGTATTGGAAAAACTGGATTTCAACCTACCAAAGATTGAAACTAGACCCATATCTTTCACCATGCACTAAACTAAAATCGAATTGGATCAGAGATCTAAATATTAAAACAGAAACACTAAACTTGGTGGAAGATAGGTTAGGTAGAACTCTTGAAGACAATGGAATAGGAAAAGACTTTATGAAAAAAACCTGAGTAGCACAGGGACTAGCACAAAGAATCAACAACTGGAATCTCATCTTATTAAAAAGCTTCTGTTGGGCTGGGGATTTAGCTCAGTGGCATCAAACCTGCCTTGTAAGCACAAGGTCCTGAGTTCAATCCCTGGTACCAAAAAAAAAGAGAAAGAAACCACCAACAAGGCTAAGAGATAACCTACAATGTGGGAAAAAATTTTACCAGCCATTTCTCAGACAAAGGACTATCTAGAATATATAAAGAACTCAAAAAAAAAAACCAAACCTCCCCCAAATTTAAAACCCAATTCAAAAATGGGCATCTGAAATGAACAGACATTTCTCAGACAACGAAGTAAAAGCAGCAAATAAACATATGAAAAAAGTTCGACATCACTGGTCATTCCAGAGATGCAAATGAAAACAACACTGAGATTCCACCTCACCCCACAAAGAATGGCTGCCATCAAGAAATCAACCAAGAACAAATGCGGGTGGGGCTGTCGGGAGAAAGGAACCCTTCTCCATTGTTGGTGTGAATGCAGACTGGTGCAACCACTGTGGAAATCAGTATGGAAATACCTCAAAGAACTAGGGCTAGAGGTCCCATTTGGCCCAGCTATTCCTCTGCTGGGTATCTTTCCAAAAAAATCATACCACAGAGATATAGGCACACTCATGTTTATTGTGGCACAGTTTGTAACAGCTAAAGCTTGGAAACAGCCCAAGTGCCCATCAACTGGAGACTAGATCAATAAAATGTGGGGTTTTTTATAAAATGGAGTACTACTCAGCCATGAAGAGTGAGAAACTAGAGACATTTATAGCTAAATGGATGCACATTGAGGCCATACTCTTAAGTGAAATAAATAGGACACACATGTGTAAATACCAAATAGTTTCTCTGGTGTGAGAAACTGAAAGTGTAAATAAAGATCAAAATGTATAATAGATAATGTGAAATAGGAAGAAACGATCTAAAGGAGAAGGGGAAGTGGAAGGGGTAGGGGAAAGGAAAGAAGGGAAAGGAATAAATTTGAGAAAAGGAAAAAAATGGAAACAAAGTCTTTGTAAATAGGGAGAGGTGGAGGGGTTGAAGGGAGAGCAGGAGAATGGGAAAAAAATAAGAACCAAGATATATCATGTAAAGGTACAAGATTCCAATGATGAATGCCATTGTATATCTAAAATGTACCAATAAACTTAATGAATAAAAAAGTTCTGGGGCAAGAGCATGGAAATCAGAGAAAAACAGAAAGTGAAAAAGCCCTGAGGTAGGATCATGCTTGGCATGATCAATGAGCAGCACGTAGGCCAAGTGAGGCTGGCACAGAGTGAGTGAGGGGAAATGATACATGGAGGTAACGGCTCTCAGGACCACATAAGCACTTCAGCTTCAACACTGAGCAAGATGACAGCCATTGGAAAGATCCAAAAGAGGGATAACATAGTCTGAATTATATTTTTAGAAAATCATTTTCAGCGCTGGAGACTAGGGGCAAAGGTAAAAAGCAGAAAGTCAGTTAGGAGGTGTTATAGTAAACTTGGGCTAAGGATTCCTCCATACTTGAGTCCTTACATAATAAAGTACAACCTAACTTAGTATGTATAAACTAAATGAAAGCCTCACTTGAAAGTGTACTATCTGTATAAACTAACAGAAAGCCTAACTGAAACTGTTCTTTTGTAAAAGATAGCTAAAGCTTAGTCAGTCAGCAGCCAGGCTTCAGTCAGTGGCAGGTGGCCAGCAGTCGAGATCATGTTTAAATAAGGAAGAGGCCGAGCTGTACCAAGCAAGATGTCTCTGCACCTCTCTGTAACTGCTGCCTGACCAGGTCGCAGGCTGGAATTGTCTAAAGCTGTTCTGGTTTAGAGGGCTGCTCAACTCACAAATCATTGGCTCTGTGAAGCCCTGCTGAGTGGAATTTGTTTAAAGATACTCCTTTCCTAGAGGCTAATGCAGTAATCCAACTGAGAGCCTGGAGTGCTCCTAGTCTAGGACAGCAGCTAGTGGTAACAGTGGCTGTTACTTTGTCCTGAGCAGGAGATTTGGCCAATACTTCTGGAGCATGGGGACACATGTTGAAGCCCCATGAAAAGGAGCACACCTATAGTGAGACACAACCAGGTGTAATAATCAGCTGCCACCAGAAAGAATTCACCCCAGGATCTGCAGAGCATCTCAGGAAGAGGAAATCACAGGCTCATCACAGACTTGTACAGAATTTAAGCTGTGTCAGGTGATTTGGGCCTCAAGGAAATGGGGATTTGTTTACAACTGAGCACCACCAGGAACCAGGAGCAATTTGATGATTGGTGCCCTGGTTGTTATTATCTAGGAATCAGAAAGAACCAAGTGGAGCTGGAGTTGTCACTGATGCAGAAGCTGTAGCCACTCACTTTAGCAGAAGGAGGACATCCAGCTGTTTTTGTGGTGGCATAGCATCTTGACCATCTTGTATTTAGTCCTCATTAAGAGGTGACTCAGTTTTGTCTCGTTCCATATGGTCATGGGGTGACCTCATCTAATTGTTGTTTATGTTCAGTGGAAGCACTACATGCAGCTCACTGTTAGCTGCCAGCTTCCCAGGCATTTTTCTCATTTTTATTCGTTTGTTTTCTCTCTTCACATATTTAGAGTTCGGCCATAGTTCCAAAGCACATATTGGTTTTATATACATGGGAATAAGTTCCACTGGAATAAAAATCCAACTGGTCTGGATGGTTCATTTTGGAAAATTAAATATAATTTCCCTGCCTGACACTTCTTTCCCAGAGGAGAGTTTTAAATGTCCCCAGACTGAACCACATGGAAGTAATTCTGACTGATTCTGTGAGACCTAAAACCACAAGATGTACTTTGCCCACCTGCTTGTGATAAGTGTTCAGCCATCCCCTGGCAACAGCTACCCCAATGTCCCAGGTGTAACTGTTTGCAGCTTGGGTACGCAAGGCACAACCAATCAGGCTTAATTGCCAATCTAGAACCTTGCTGTAACTACTATAAAAACCCCTGCTGATTTGGAGTCAGGACTCTCACTCTTGACCAGCTGCGGCGGTGACGGTTGGGAGTCCCTGCTCGAGCTTGAATAAACAACCCTCGTGTGTTTACATCGGAATCGGCTCCTTGGTGGTCTTTGGGGACCTCGAAATCTGGGCACAACAATTCCTTTTTTAAAAAATTAATTTATTGGTACATTTTAGGTATATAATATAAGGACATACATCATTGGAAATTTGCACCTTTACATAATCTCTCTTGGTTCTTATTTTTTCCCCATTCCCCTGCCCTCCCTTCACCCCCTCCATTCCTCCCTATCTACAAAGACTTTGTTTCCATTTTTTCTTTTTTTATATTAATTCCATTCCCTTCTTTCTTTCCCCTACCCCTCCCACTGCCCCTTCCCCTTTGCCCCTTTTCTTCCAATTTCATATTATCTATTACACCTTTTAGTCCTTATTTACACTTTCAGTTTCTCACACCAGAGAAACTATTCAGTATTTACACATGTGTCCTATTTATTTCACTTAAGA